GAAACAGTTCCAGTACACGGCAAGTTCTCCCGGGCCTGCTAGGGTTGGCCCAATGAACCAAGGAGGACCACGTCGGACATGGTGCTGCACGGCTCATTTGACCAACACGAACAAGAGGGAACGTCGACGATACAGAACACTTTGGACGCAAAGGACCGTGGCGAGCACAGCGCTGTGCATCCTAGTGCAAGTGGCGGACAAGTTAGAAATTCGTTCTAAGTTCCCATAAACACTTTCGGCTAAGTCCGAACAGTCGCCGGACCGGTGTCTAAAGTGTCATAGCACTGCTTTAACACACTCAGATCGTTCTCAAAGATCCAGGAACCTCGATCGTACCTCTGGATTTGATGTTTGGGACCATTCAACGAATCGACTCAGCATTGAACATACTTAGCAAGACTTGATCCTGACTATAACTTACTGGTGATTTCTGAAGGTATACAAGACCTGTGCACGAACTTCGCATATGTAAATGTGCCAACTTTGTGAGCACAGGGATATAGCCTAGTGAGTAGCTCCGGGTGGCAAAAGGTCGTTCCAGGTCACAGTGGGGTTGTGGAACGAAATCAAAGAAGATAGAGGAGCCCCCTTTAAAGGTCATAAGGTATCTATTTATCATTCATACCATCACATGAAGGCTGCAGCTCCAGTCTCAATACATGTCCAGCCGTGGACCGGAGTCACTAGCGTTGTCAAAATTGCCCACTATCGGCAAGTCCACTCAGTAGCTATCCCTTGTGTACAGGTTCACACGCAGCAGGGAATTACAACACACAGCGCCCAATATCCTTGGACCTTACGTACTTCTCTCAACGGTCAAAGTTTCTGTCGAATCCTCTCAACTCCTATCTTACTATTGAAGTCGGTTCAGCATCACCCTCGACAGCTGATTTTGAAGAAAACTTTAGGTATGACGTGTGCTAGGACACTCGCCGATTGTTGTAGCCGTCGTGTAAACGTCGCCTCCAACTCGCTGACTCTTATGTATAGAATTTTGATATCAACACCGACTGCGACTAGAATTTCTTGTTGGTCTCTTCTTGTGTGAAGATTGCTTTCACCAGGCTCAATCACATCCTACTTCAGGATCTGAGTTTGCAACTCACTTCTTAGTGTTTTCAGTCGCAGCCGTTGTGTAAACGACACCTTCGATTGATTCGCTCTCGTGTTGGGATACAGATCGCTCATTGCGCACCCACGCCAGGATCGGCACAAGATTACAGCCATGTCACTTCCTGCAGCCCACGTTCGCACTTTCATTAAAGGCGACAATGTTTTCTCCACTCCAGATGGGACATAGCCTCCCGATTGTCCCCCAATGGACCGCGATCCATTCGATACAGAACCATGGGAGACCAGGATTCCCCTTTGGTATTCCACAAAGCTTCCGCAGCTTCCCCTCGTACTCAGGTACCCTGAGTATACTGAGATTCTGCAACGTCTTGATGTTACCTGCGATACTATCCCATTAATTCGCACTGACCGGGGCTGGATGATGCATCCACATCTCCAAGAGTCCTGGTGGTCTTTAGAAAGAGGACTGAACATGCTCATTGAGGACCTGGACGATGGCATGAAGAATGGCGCAAGCATCTCCCCTTGGTTTTATTTTTCACGCTATCATTCACCAACATCTTTGGGGTACTTACAGGTTCATAAATATTGCGAGGATGCAAAGACGTCAATCATGCATTCTCAGGATGGATATCTGCCTCTGCTGGCACTTCTCTCCATGGCTATTTGGCATACATCCAAAAGTACGGCTCTGCGCCAATACGGTAACAACACTACTTTGCCAGCCTGGTACCACTATCTTGTGCAAATCAAGAGGCGCAACCCAGCCTGGCTAGCATCACTACAAAACCATGGGATCGACGATTTTTCAGGCAGAACGCCAAGAGCTGGTGTCATTGTGGACATTCGAAACTGTTCAGAACCCTCATACATATTGCAGTACATTGCTATGAATGTACCTGTCTGGTTCTGGTGCGGCAAACCATATACTTCACCTCTCAGCATCCATTCCGCGTCACTCAAAGTGTTCTGTCCAACACCGGCAGACATATCCCATGCCTTGCATGTAGGATCAGCGGTGCTCCCTCCGGTTCGAGTAGGGAGTCAACAAGTTGTAGGGGAAACGTGGCAACAGTTCTTTCTTCAGGTTGAGAAAGAGAACAACCAAAAACTTGTGAAGCAGACTGAAGAACAATGTCGTATTTGCGAGCATTGGGTCGAACTCAGCTCGATGGGACCCACTTCGAAGTCAAAGGTCTTTTGGTGGGAGCCAATCAATCGTTTTTGTATTCGCAGACTGGTCCACCCGGAGCAGTTAAATGACTATCTGCGTAAATATTCTGGCAGCCAGAGACGCTTTGATCCAGTACATGATGAATGGGATCTTTGTACCGAATTTGACCCCAATGCTGAGCAAAATGAACCTGAGCCTGGGGAGTCAGACGGCACGCCTGTCATGTATGGCTCCAAAAATCCAGCCCCATCTTATTCACCTCAGGCATTACATATAGATCAGGTGGCTGAGGATGTTCGAGCCGTATTTTCAGCCATAAACTGCGAGATCCACATGCAGTTGGTCGAGATTGTAGACTCGCTGTTAGATGTTTTGAAGCAGCACTACGGTCTCGTCATCACACAAGACATTGAGGCTTGTGGTACACTGGATAAACCAAGTGGATACAAGCTTCACGAGCTGTATGGCTACTATTCAAGCCAAGAGGAGTTGTCTAGCCCAGTCATGATGGCCGCCGACGCGTTCAGCATCGTGCTTATACAGGCTGGCCAGGGCAATCAAGTTGTAGGGGCATCTGCAATCCTATCCAAGCTATGGGACATCCATGCTAATAACACCACGTTATCCATTCATGGTCTTTCTCGCAGTCTTTCAATCACACCGTTCGTTTACAAAGGCTCGCTTCGTTATCATAGGTCATGAACTGTCGAGGATCCCGGAGTAGACACACTCTACATCGTGGTGCTCAATAATAAACACCGCACTCAGATTGGCATTGCAAGTGCAACAATAGCAGTATGACTGCTACGAACACGTCAAATACCAGACCTTGCCAAACTGACAAGTTTTCTGTTACGAATTGGCGCAAGTTTTAGAACTCTTATGCCCATCGAAGATATCCCACGACCGCACCCTGCTTTTGGCCACGGCAAGCGTGAAAGGCCAGAAACATTGGGCTATCGCCCTAAAGGTTTCTCAGCGTCGCTGCAGGACTTCCACGCCTACTACATGAGGTTGCAGGAATTTCTCAGGAATCCCTACGCAGCTTACGCAGCTTTGAGAAGAGGTGGCTTGACCTGGCGGATAGCAACACATGTTCTCCAGAGCAGCTACCATCGCCATGAAATAGAGAACACCGAGGACCTTATATCTCATGGCGAAGTCTTGGAAGGCCATGCAGATAGCTATCTAAGTGAAGGGCTGACTGAGGAAGAATTAGATGTACAAAGTGTATACAGGTAAGACAAGAATTAACCAAAATTGTGCATAATCCAATCTAATGTAGAAAACAGAGCAGCGACCAAATCAGGTAGCGGATTGTTCTTGGTGGCCACGACACTCAATATGGATGGCATCAACCTATAATGTTGGTTACTGGACACCCAAATGTGAAAGATTTTTTCAGAGTCGTCTGCAGGCCATTCTTGAGAACAAGGGGAAGCTAAAAAATTCAAGTGAGTGGAGAGATGCACTCAGGCGGTCCAGGTTCTGTGGAGTTGTTGTGAAAAAGGTGGAAGAGGCATCGGCCGATTTTCTGACTAGTCAAATTAGTACATAGTTTGCAGGACATATAGCTACTATAATTGAATATTGACTTACTGCTTACTTGAAATTTTACTCGGTCTGTGAACATTGAGATAGAAAGGGAACTTATCATTCCTTTAGTTTTGCTTTTTTTGTTGTTTTGGGAAAGAGTGTCATAGTTTGAGTAGCAGCTGGCATCTTGAACCCTCTCAGCCAATCAGAAGTGTGAACTTGCCGATAATTCATATCAATGATACTCTGTAGTAAACAACATCAAACAACACATTGTAAAATCCAACCACCACCATGAGACCTACCAACAGCAAGTTTATACTACCTTCTGAACTGTTTCTCATGATTTTTGCAATTCTTTCAGGTGCAGATCTGAACCAGGTCGTGCAAGTGTGTAAACACTTCCAGAACCTCGCTTCAGTGTATCTATTCCAAAGAGTAATCATTGGAACACACCACGAACTACCACCGACCAATCACCTCTCACCAACCACATTGCTTCAAGCCTTCTTGGAATTTCTCAATAATCCGTTCATCTCAAATATTCCCATCTACATCTGCTCGATCTCTCTCATTGGCCCTATGCAACTGAACATCATACAACTCTGCGAATTGCTGAGAAGAACCCCCAATACAAGGATTCTTGCTCTTCAATGGATAAAGCTACGAGGAGAGCATCAGATTACTACCCATAGAAGGATGCCACAATTCTCACTCACTCAGCTGAACCTCATAGGGATTGGGAATGACATTCCTTATCTCTTTCAGGTTTTCACCTCTATCCAGAATTTATACTGGTCACAAATCTACAATTATACAATCAATTACGACACACCTACTTCACAATGCACATCAGTGCAATCAGTTTATTCCTTTGGAACTGGAACTACAGACCTCCTATGTAAAGTCTTAGTACCTGCAGATCTCAGAGAGTGTGCTATGATGCCAGATTTTGCTGGCACTCTTACCACATTTCTGAGATCTTGTACAAATCTCAATAGTATCACAACTCGTGCACCACTGGAGAATAGACTCTGGTTAGAAATGATCAGTATGTAAGACCAGCGTCCACTTCTGACGTCGAGCACAACACCTCTCCCTCTCGACAGCTCCAGAACTCAAATACGCACATGTCAGGAACCAATCCTGAAGAGCTGCCCAACCTAGGGCGGCCCCTCCAGGAAGAGGTTCCCAAACCGACACTGGCGGGAAAAGATGACCTGAACAGGAATCAAACCTGCGACCTCAGGTAACTAGCCCTATGCTCTACCAGCTGAGGCCCCCTGGCTAGAGCACCCGGCGTCCCGGCAACTCTGTCCCGGCAACTGCCCCGGGAGGCTTGCCCGGCTCGAAGCCCTATTTGTCAGCGCATGTCCAAGTGGCCGGATGGAAAAAACCGGCAATGGTTGGTCGAGGGTGGGGTTTCACGAGCGTGATAGGCTCAATCAAACTGTAAGGCAAAAAGTCGAGTCCCTTACACGCAGTCCCGGAGGGCCCCTCGGTCATCAAGATTGTAGGCCTGTTGGGGCAGCACGGAGATAGTGAGAGATTTTGTTCACGAGGTTGTGCTGCCGATATCGTCCCTTGTACGCTTCTAGGTCATTTTGATGGGTGTCCGAACCTTTTCCCTGCTAATGGGTCCGTCAACGAGCTGACGATGAAACTCTAGACGACGTAGACAAGGGAGTTGATACGTCACCGTTCATGACGAGTCGGGGTTGCATGCAGCATGTGGATATTTGAGGGTTGTTGAAGTTTAGGAGCCTGCAAGATAGTGAGCACTCGACTACGTCAAAGGTATATGATCACAAAGTCATGACACAAAGGAGAGTTTACTTGGACAATCGGGCAGTGTATCACAGGAGAACGAGCAATCATGCACAGGGGCGTTAAACGTTTACACGCAATTAGCAGAGGATAGGAAATTCTTCTGAGCAAGATGAAGCATAGTCTAGCAGTCCACGAGCATTCAGCTGTCTTCATCCATGTGGATTTTGATGTTTCCTGTCCTCTTCCTTGTTCCCCATGTGGTCCACAAGTCGTCATTGTTCATGAGCTCCTCAAATGGTATGCATGCTTCCGTCTTGTGTCGTTTCCAGTCGGATCGTTGACACTCAGTCTATTTGCGGGAAGAGGAGTACGAGAGGTAGAGATTCGTACCGAGCAGTAGTGAGCAGCCTTGCATTTGCTGCATACCCTCATGTCCGGATTTGAGTAACCAGCAGGGGGATCTTTGTATTGTACCTTCAAGCATGCCAGGTTGGAACAGATCATGGCAATGTTAGGCGTTTCCTTGTGCAACTTGTTGAACGCTGCGCCTATACATTTCATTTGCACTCGCACTGTCTTCAGTAGAACGAGTGCGAGACTTACCTTGGGCACCCTGCCATCTAAGCGAAAGCTCACGCATCGTGGGCTTCCTGAGAACCCTGCGCCGTTCGTGGAGAACCTTCTTGCGTTCTGCGACGCATGCCTCCTTGTCGTGTAGAAACAGGCACCTTGAGTACAGGCAGCCTGATTCTCGCGCAAAGAACTGAGGGCAGGTGGGGTGTAGCAAGTGAAACCAGAAGAAAGCCTACATGATTGGAGCACATACCATACACGGTACCAAGGATGGGCTATAGTCACTTTCCTTGAGCTTCTCGAACAGCTCGTCCCAAGCGGTGATCCCGGTTGTACCTGCACTCGAGTGACCCGATTTTGCTTCAAGATACGAGAAGACTTTAGAAACCCGAGAACCGAGTACTTGGACGCTCTGAACACCAGACGGCGGGAGAGCAGTCGTTTGCAACAGGTCTTGCGGTATCTGCTTCCGTCGCGGCTCCGATCAACCTCAATCGCGATCGGCCTATGCACTCGAGCACACGGTCCTTCTGTCCGGCAACCCAACCCAGTGAACCAAGCTCACATGCAGTGTCGATCAGCACACATTCACTGCGTTCCAGGGCATTTCTACCCAAGCTCTGCAAGCAGGTGCCAGGCAGCCTCGCCTCACCTTTACCAACCTCCGCCCACTCCCCCCTCAAGGACAATTCCTGTGGGCTCCCTCTAGGTCGTAGAAGCCATGTACACATGAGCATTGTAGATCTCAGCAAACCCCGCGGTCATGTAATCTACTACGAGTGCGCAGAGTTTTGTAGACATAATGTATTGTTTGCTCCTCCTAGCTCACCGCATGTCACGGTGTTGTAGACAGTTGTGGATGATACAGACCCGGACTTGTCCATTACCAACTTCCTTCTTGAGGCTTGACAACCAACTCACTCCGCCATCAGGAAAAACCTCATTTTCCTAATCTTGCCAATTGTACATAATTTAGATATAATGAGATATAATTGG